TGAATTGTTGATTAAAAACGAATCGTTTTTTAAAAACGCAAATATTATGTTATTCAATTAATTTTAAATGGATCTTGTTTTAGCACTTCTGAGATATTGGAATATCAATTTAATCAATTATCGAAAAATTAAACGACGATAAAATCTAATTGAGTTCCGACGAAGAAAAAATTAACTATCACTTAAAAATATCATCGTTTATCGCCAAATTTATTTTAATTCTATATATATTTTAATTTCAAATTTTAGTGATGAAAAAAGTAGGTCAAATAGTAAGAAAAGCAGTGAATAAAGTTATTATAGTGATTATAATTCATTTAATATAATCGTTGTTTGAAGCAATGGTGGTCGAATAAAGTTTCTTGCAATCGTTGATGGGAATGCCTTTCTTCGCGGTACTAGCGGTAAAGATAATGTGACTACATTCTTTAGTCTGAACGAGTTAAATAAGAATTGAATTACGTTTTTCAGAGCGCAAGCTGAATTGTAAGCCCTATAAGTTACAATTTAAAGGGATACCGTTACAAGATAGAATAGTTAGCTGGATTGTACTCTATGTTCCTGGATAAAGTAAGTAAAGTTTTCACTTTTTACACTTTCGAGTAAATCCCGTGCATAGTAAATGATATAAATAAATTTGTGCCGTAAAGAAATAAATACTACGGATGCACGAAATATTAGGTCGTTAGTTCGAAAGTTCAGGGGGAGTAAGTTTCTGAGACCATCCGCGCTCCTCATTGAAAATAGGTTATTATCGCGCGGTTATTAGTTTACGATTTAACGTGGCTAACTATAAGCGCTTCGTTATATCGTCTTATATTGCGGGATAAGAGAGTGTATGAGAGAGAGAGAGAGAGAGAGAGAGAGATGCAGCACGATCGAATTTGGAGCGATATAATTGCCAACTCCAACAGAAGTTCATGAGGTATTTGCTAAGTGGAGTGGACTTGGACCAATTCTCGAAACCCTTGAGGCACAGCGCGGATTAAGGAAAGATCCTGATCACGAATATAAACGCGAAGGTTTGCCGGAACTTCCGTATTGTCCCGTTCTCCGCTTGTACAAGCCGGCTCACGTTAAGTTTCGTCCCAATCCGCCTCGGTAATTAGAACAATCCAAATACGCCTCCTCGATTGACTCGTCGGAACACGTGCACCCCTTATCGACGATACAAAGATATATTTTTAAAAATATATTTTTTGAAATGTGACGCGACGCGACGTCGGGAGTTTAGCAAATTTCACTGATGATGCAGAATCGCCTGGAAATATGTTTTCCGGCCGGGAGTTCCGGCAAATGTTTGACTAACGAATAACAATTTGTGTGTACGAGGGAGGAATATTTAGTTATTAATACGCAAACGCACGCTTCGCACTCGACATAGCGAGAACAATGTGAAACGAAAGTGTCGCGAAAAACTGATCGAATTACACTTTTAGCGAGGCGCGCGACACGAATTCTCTCGTCACGACGAGTTTACTCTGGAAATTTCGGAAGGCTGCATCATGTTCTATGCATAAGCGCGCAATGATCCCCAAATGCGAATAGGAACTCTAACGTCACGTATTTACGTATCCCGTAATCGAAGGATCGCGCAATTTGAAGCGTCAAGGTTGGGAAAGCTTCTAGTATACGAGGTCTCGGGGTCCCTAAGGGCGTCGACTCTCAATTACGACTCTCACACCCCTCAGCCTTCTCGTACGCCAACCCTAGAAGCTCGCTCACCCCTTAAAGACGAAACAAACTCGGCCATGAAAAGAAAAGTTAAGTGCTCGTGACACTCCCCACGGCGGTCCCTCACGTTCACCATTTTTCTCAGCGGACCATAATCCTCCACGAGCGGCACGTAATTTTTAATTACTTCCCAACGAATCCGGGGCACACGACATTTTCTTGCGTCGATTTTCTTCATCCTCGTCTCCCTCGTCTCACACTTTTTCTGATGATAATGGAATTGGTTAACTGACAAACTGAGTTTATTTCTACAATGTTTTAGCACTATGAAAATAAATTTTCTTGTTCAACGATTTTAAAGAAATTCGTCAGAATTTTTATTCTGTTAAATATTATCTAAAGAAAGAATTAAAATTACCTACAAAAGAATTAAATATTGTTTACAAAATTAAAAATGTATAAGTTTAAAATTCAATAATCCAGAAATTAAAAATTTAAAAAAAGCATAAATCTATATTTATATCAAGATTATATTTGATCAATCGATTATTTTACAAGATTAACAATTAATGTTTCTTCCGTGTGATCACTCGTGATAGTAAAATCGTTCATGTGAATAATAATTTAGCACGAAATGACAACTAATGGCTATCTCCGTGTCATTTCCTATTCCGTTTCCTATCTCAGTTGCGGATATATTTGGTGGAGGCGATGAACGCGCTTTATCATTGTTTTATCACCGGTGCAACGGTTGTTATTTTTTTTTTTTTTTTTATAGCTGGGCCCATCACGGGGGTGGGCCTGACCGCTTTTGTTTTCGCCAACTGGAGCGACCAGTCCGATTTAACTGTCTGTCATCCACCGATATACCGACCTCGACGGAAAAAATGGAAGGTCTCGTCCTCTTTTCTTTCTTCCTCTCTTTGTTTCTCTTTCCCTCTCGTCACGAGCGAATTTACGGAGATGCATAACTGCAGCGCGTAAAACGCCGATAGTGCACGAAATTGCGAGGAATATTTTAACACGATGCCGGTGAGTAATGCAAGACGTGATTTTACGATCATCGTGAAGAGTAAATACGAGTACGGTGGATACTTTTTGCTTATCACAATTTCACACAATGATGGAATTTTGATTGCCGAGATTAATATGTCAGTTGTGAAAATACACAATTGCTATACATGTCTCACGTTAATTCTCCCAACATTCTGATCATTATATTTTTGGAACATCATGATTGTTGTAAAAAATTAGGGGAGATTTATTTATTCAATATAAAGATGATTAATAATTCTCGGAGAGGGGAGAAAGAGTAGAGTGTTTGAATTTTTGACTTCGCGGATTTATAGCGATAGATTCTCATATCCTCGAATTTACTCTTCCCTTCTGATCTTCCGGATCTTCGAATTTTAATTCGAAGAATTGTATTCCGAGAAAATCTTAGATAGAATCCCTCTATTCCATTTATATTGAGCTTTTCATTCACGATTTGTCTCGTCTTTCAATTAAGTGGCTAATCTAGCTGCTTGGTGATGCATAACGAGTCGTCGGCGTTCCTGGCAGCCAACTCGGCGTCGCGCTCGAGAGAAGCTTGGCCAAAGTGGTACAAAACTATCCGACGCATTAACGGCCATCGGTAAACGCCTCTGAGGTGAACGCACACCGGAAACTGGGTCGGATTCGCAAGACGCGAGTAGTCTAAGTTTGCCCGTTCGCCACTTCCGCCGATGAAAGCCGCCCGCCGCGCGCGTGCAGAGTGAACGCGCGCGTTAACGGCAGATCCGGGGGTGGTGGCGCACGTTGAGAAACGCATTTGTAAACATACATCCTACCCTATGGGGCTCGAGCAGCCGTGTCGCAGTAAATCCCGGTACATTAATATTAATGCGTCTTCGGCATGTACCAGGCCGCTCTCTCTCTCCCTCCTCCCCTCCCTCTCTCTCTCCCTCTCGCCTACTCCCCCTCGATGTCGGTTCTTCACGTCGCAGAAAGCAGGGGAGTTCGGCGGAGTTTACAACGCGAAGT